GGAAAGAGAAATGACGATAATTATGATTTTGATGTTTTGAAAAGAAAAGAGATAGCACGATTGAAAAAAAAAGATGATTAAACGAGAAGGAATTTTGCATTAGAGTCGCTTTTATAAAGGAGAAACGGGAAAAAATGAAGGAAGAAAGAAAGATATATCGTATGAATGTGAAATAGAGATGAAGATAGTAAAAAGATTGCGTAAATGAGAAAAAAGACGCAGGAAAAGAAAGAAAAGAGAGAGAAACCTGCATTCACTGTTGATATGTAAAAGATAGAGATAAGTCGTGATAAGACAAAGATAGAGCATGATGGGTTTTTAATAAAAAAAAGAGGAGAAAAGATTGCATTCCTCTCCTTCTCGTTCGATTAACGGACGTCACGCACCTACGGGCGCGAAAAGACGCTGCAAGAACGAGTTAAGAGAATAAAGGAACATACGCGAAAGCGATGTAGACGGGAGAAGAAGCAAGACAGAACAAGTTTACATCATCGTCTGAATTGGTATCACATGGACGCGATTTCTTTCGATGTATTTTATGTCAAAAAATATTACTACAATTGTGCTTTTTAAAATTCCATGATAAAGAAAAAATAATTAGATAATAATTAAAGTATTTTTAATTACTTTTCTTCAGTTTTTCTTTAATTACTTATCTTTTTTTATTGAAATTGTGTCAATTAAAACGTTTAAAATAATTTTTCTCAAAAAAAGTAATAAAAGTAAATTATATTCTATATTTTATCAAAATTTCGAAGAGTGTTTGAAACAAAAATTTATAATTCAGTAATACTAAAAAGGCCTGCAAAAATGGCTAAACTTTTCCGGGCTTTAATTATTGCCTAATTACTTTTTCTCTATCGTGGGATTTTAAAAAGCACTATTGTAGTAATATCTTTTGGCATAAAGATAAAATACATCGAAAGAAATCGCGCTCATGTGATACCAATTCAGACGATGATGTAAACTTATTCTGTCTTGCTTTCTCTCCCACCTACGTCGCTTTCGCGTATGTTTCTTTATTCTCTTACCTCGTTCTTGCAGCGTCTTTTCGCGCTCGTAGCTGCGTGACGTCCGTTAATCGAACTAGAAGGAGAGGAATGCGATCTTTTCTTCATTTTTTCTACTATATATTTGATATTTAATTGTTCTTTAACCTTTATTTTTAATATATTTCATTAAAGTTTTAGCTGAATTGAATCGAAGATCAATAGATTTTATTGAGGGAGAATCAGAATTAATATCTGGATTTAATATTAAATATTTTAGGGGAGAGGGGAGCCACACACATTTACATTAATTTTTTTGGCTGAGTATGATATAATTGCTTTTTTAGATTTTTATTAATTTTATTATTAATAAATTATTTTATCTCATTTTTATAGAAATATAAGATGAAAGAAAATAAATGAAATAAATAAAAGGAATTTGACTAATTATTATAAAAAGATATTCAATGACTTGGGCTCCTGCTCAGATTAAAAGAATAAATGTATTTGTAAAGATTCAATATATAATTTGATTTATTGGATAAAATATTAACCAATTAAATTTATAAAATAGTTATTATTGGTAGAAAGTATAGAATAAAATTAGAAGGTAATAAGGCAATTACCCCTTTTAATTTATTAGGGATTGAACGTATATATGTCATAGTATATAAAATGTTTCGGCAGGGAATTATCACAATAATATGATATTGTTAACATATATGTATAATAACATATGTGTATTCGGCCTTGGCGGCGTAAAGATTGGCGCGCTATTATTTACGTATCTCGACTTTGTTATCATTCGCGCGACGATACTCGGAGCAGGAAAGTAGTCGTATGAGACGCTCCGTCGAATTCCTTCTCTAAACGCGATCGCGACCAGTATCGGGAAATTATTTGCTATTATAATATAATTAATAATTAATTAACATTTATATATAAATAATATGTAACTACATATATACATATATCACGACGATAAATCTCGAATCGCATATTTCGTAATTCTTTCATTTAATCAAATAAGAATTAAAGTAATAGGAAAATAAATTCTAAATTATCGTTTCGTTGCGATCTTTAAGGACAATAATTATTTCTTTAACAACACATAGAGTCAAATATATTTTTTTTCCGCGATGCTATATTATTTGACTTTTCCAGATATAATCAAGATATAATTTGAATTAAGAACGTGCTATAAAACAATTGAATCGGAAAATCGAATAATTAATATAACGATAAGTTCCGTGATACATTATCGTTTAGTAAGTATTTAATCTATAATTTAAAATACTTTTATAATTTAATATTTCCCTTATATATACGTTATAGTACGTAAAATATTTCGGCACCGATTATCAATAACAATGGTATTCGATCTCGGCGACGTAAACAATAGCACGCTAATGTTTTTACATGCTTCGGCTTTGTTATTATTTGCACGACGACACTCGAGCAGTAAAGTAGTAGTGCGAAAGGCTTCGTATCTTGTCAAATTCTTTTTCCAGACGTGATTGCGACTATTATCGACACATAATTGCTGCTATTTTAATTCTTACAATGACCAATTAATTAGCTTTTGATAAACGACATAAAACTGTTTCGCGACAATAATAAAGTGCGTATCTCCTGTGATTGTTCCACGATCGAAAGTGCTGTGCAGTCTCGCGATCGTTGTGTATACAAGTAATTATAATTAATTATATTTTCGCGAGTGAGTGTGAGTGATATAAGAAAACAGCAGATGAGAGCAAAAGAGGAAAAGGAAGTTTGAGGACAACAGACGCACCAACAATATGCGGTAAGTAATTTATAAATTATTTAACATTTATATTATTTATCAAGATAGACATATTGTTTCTTCCTTATTTCCTCGATAGTTCCAAATCGAAATATCACGGTTAAAGCTATAGGAAAATATAATAAAATAGACCTCCGCGTTTCGGAAATCACAATTTCACGTATAAATACACATCTGTCTTTAGAGAAAAGTAGAGTTTCTCGCATTTTCTGTTTTATAATTAAAAATCTGAGATGAATTTAACGCGATATAAAAGACGCTCTTAACATTAATTATTTGCTAAAACTAATATTGCGAAAAATATCACGACTTTTTGTATGACATTTTGCGAAAACCTGACAATATATCATTCACCATACGATTATATGAATTTGAACAAATTAATTAACGCGCTGTTAATGATTAATTCTAAAACATTATTTAAAACGTATTAATTTTTAATGTATCAAGGTGATAGCTATTTACCGAATTAAATATTTCGCGCAATTTATTTATTTCAAGTAGAAATCGAAACGATAAGAGTAGACAATTATTAATTAATGTTCCGTTGCGATATATTTACTAGCAATAATTATTATGTTAATGATTCTTATGTACATTTTCCACATTCAAGTATAATCTCGCAATGTGAGTAATAATTGATCAAATGATTAGTAATTGATTTCTGATGTATTGATCCATTGACTTTGACATTATATAATTTTACAATGAATATCTCTTATAATTTATTTTTTAACTAAAAAAGCAAATTCAGTACTTGGTATTTGTTTTTTAAAATTATATCTATATCGCATCTCATTTAATCGAGGAAAAAGAAGGATACAATAATCTCTCAATTATAAAGTATATTTTTCCTCTCTCTTCAGTTATATATTATATTACAAAATTATATATTGTATAAAATAACCCTCCCATGGGTACACCTTGACGTGGTGGAGTGGCTTCAGTACCTGGACGGTATACCTTAAGGTCCTAAGTGTCTTAGAACTTAAAGGTTTACTGTGAAGGAGAAACCAAGTACCCAGCGTCGTCGTTGCTGTCATCGTGCCGCGGACGGCTCGTCGTATCGTTGATGCTGTCATCGTGCCGCGGACGGCTTTCGCGTCTTTCGCGTCGCGTGTCAACACAGCATTGCCACGAGTCGCACAATGGCTCATATGTGGCACGCGCATTTATGCGTCGAATGGACATTAGTGCGTCGTCGGTGCCGTCATCGTGTCGTACGAGCAACAATGCGTCGCGTTGTCGCGGTATCGCGTTTTCGCGTCGTCGCGTCTTCGCGGTGGACTTCTATCTCAATTCGATTTTTTATTTGTATGATTTGAACGAGAGAATTAAAGAAATAGATTTTTATATTTAAAGTTATAATCTTGTAAAAGTTTTTACTTTTAGATTATAGCTTTTATATGGAATTATTAGAGTTATTAATAGTGTTTTTTTCAAAATTTATAAAATTATTTTACTAATCTGCTTATTATTATATGCATGAATATAAATTTCAATGCAATAAATGTAGAATAAATTCAATAATAATAATAATAATGTATAATAATTTCTAAGTATAATATATTTTTTGAAACACTAATTATTTTGAGCATTGCTACAATTTGGATTTTTACATCTCTGGCTAGATGTAGCCAGAATGAATATGGCCAGGATCAACGAAAGGTAGGTCCAACTGGCCCAACGGAAGCAACATACGGTGCATTCTATCAGGGCACGCAAATAGGACACGCGAATAGGGCACTCGAGTAGGGCACGCGAGTAGGATACACAGTTAGGATACGCGAGTAGGGCACGCGGTTAGGACACGCTCCCCAAAAATTTAGGTGACCCCAGATTCCCGTTAGCTTAGCCAGCAAAAATAAAGTTGTCAAAACTATTAAAACTATCGTAACTTAAGATAGGTAGTTATTTAATTCCTTAAGATTTTTAAGAAATTAAATGCTATTAGGAATTAAAATAATATTAATTGTAAGACTATTAAAATATTGGAGAGATAAACAAATCAATTATGAAAAAAATTACAGATAAAAATTAAAAATTTAATTTAATTATGAAAAATGTAAAAATGTATCTTAAATGTATCTTAAATACATTTAAGTTGCATTCTGTTATATGTAACATATGTCTTAGCTTTAACATTTTATGTAACATTTTATTTTGTAAATTGTATTAACATTTTATTCTGTAAATTAAAAATTGTATTTTCTTCAAAGTTATGTAATTTTAAATTCAAATGTGAATGTCATCAGTATCTAATAATTTGTAATATTCAAAAAAAGTAATTCAAACTAAATAATTTTTAGCATTTTTATTTCCGATTTATTTGAATCTTTATCAAATATATATCGTAATAATAAAATAAAAGTTTTACAATTTCTTATATTGAGAATATTAGATGCTGGTAGCATCAATTATTAAATTGTATCTATAAATTGTAATTACATCTATAAATTGTAATTATATATGAAAATTGTAATTATAATGTTATATATTTTTCATAATTTTCTTATATTTTCTGTTGTATCTATATAAATTGTAATAATTAATTATAATAATTTATTGTAATCTATTGTAAAAAAAAAAATCTATTTAAATTATACGAAATTGAAAGAATACGTACAATAACACAAAATTAGTTGAATTAACATATTCGATAAATATCAGATTTCAACGTTTTTATATATATATTGTAAAATTATTCAAAAATTTGATATAGCTTACTTTTCTCATACCAAAAAATTATCAATAAAATCCAAAAACTTTTATTTAAAAATTTTGTGATTGCAAATATCGCTAAAATTCTCTCTCTCTTCTACTTAATATAAAAATTATTAAATGAGTATATCAAGATTCGATGCTAAGCTAACGATTAAATATTAGCTTTTACTTGCAAAATTTGTTGATCGCTTTTTTGATATTGTAAAAATACAAGTATATTTGAAATATTGGAAAATTTTTAAGATATATTATTGATCACGGAATTGAAAAATCTGCGAAACAAAATAATTTACTTTTATTATCGTTTTTGATTAGACACATTTTACGAATTTCGCGTCGCTTTAAATATTCACTGTACGATTTTATAAATAATATTGCAAACATTGCGTTTTTTCCATGTTTTTGGACGAGATCGCTACCTTGACGAAGAAACCTTATCGCTATTCCTCATGTCAGGTGGATGCTAGCGAATGCGCGGTTTGTACTGGCGGAGAATCGAAACGATCTTCATCGTGGAGAGTTATTTCTCGTCGGTTTTTGTGGAACCTATCCACGACGCTTAGTTCGGTGCTTCGTTAAAAATTGAAAGTTTCCGTTGCAGAGTTGGAATTAAATCCAGGTTTTCTTGGCGGTTCCTGGAAGCAATGCTTTTGGCAGTGATTTAACGACGATCACCAGACACTTTGAAATCGAATCACGAGAAAAATTCATTAAATAGTATACTTTGAGAGAAGACATATTTGCTTCTTTCTTTTTGTTAAGAATGTTCTTCCATCATTATTCATATTAATATCAATATTATTTTTTAACGATGAAAATACTTCATAATAGATTGAATATGGATATAATGCATAAATTTAATTTTTTTAAATACAGAAATTTAAATTACAATTAGTTTTTGCAGACTTTTTGATAAAAAATTGTGGTTACAAACGAATATATTTTATTCATTAATTTTGAATTAATATAATTTTTGGTCTCTTTTAAAAAACCATTTGCAGGCACTGGACATCATACAAATGTAACGAGTAATGGAACATATTTTTATCTGTCTTTAATAAACGACGAAGTCATTATATATAATTGTTTTCATATTATTTTGATTCAGACTTTAAGAAATTGTACAGATATGCCATACTAATGTACCGAGGCCTAATTTCGAAGAATATCGATGAAAATCCACGCAGGATCCCGAAAAACCGGATGCGAAAAGTGCCGATAGAAGAAAAGCGCTGAGCTGCATTGCCTCTTTCGGTGCGACTCAAAAAGATTTTATTTAAGATATTTATACTGCTTTTATAACGTTTGTTGGTATATCATTCATTTAAAAAATGTCTCTTTTCTATGATAATATACAAATATATAATGCGTTAAAGTCGGAAAGAGAGCGTACAAAATTAAATATATATATAGGGGAAAGTAAGGTAAAACCGGGTACTTTTTTGGATTTGTCTTCCTACGAAAAAATCAGAGTAAAAAAAATTTTGCCGTTAGTCTTTAACCGGATGCTGGGTACTTTGTGATCGGTCCACCGAGCCAAGTAAGTAATCGTTGGTTTGCAGTAAATTCTCCCCTATTAGGTAAATTTATTTGCAGTCATTAAATCAGTCAATTAATCAAAATTGGGAGATACACACTTTATTATATCATAAAAGAGCAACACGGAATACGCACTTCGATGAAAATTTATCATCGTAATATGGTATGGTTATTATCGTAGTATGGTTTTAACTTATTTTTAAAAGTTAAAATAATCATCTTATTTTCAAACATTAACCATAATTACGTTAATTATAATAATCATAGGGAATCATGTTTTAATGACGACGTGTTTATCGACGACATTGTACTCCTCCCCTTCTTTTTTTGCATCGATCGATTAGATATTCCACATTTCTATCTTCTAGCATAAATTTCAGCGCGAATTACTTTAATAACGCAAAAAAATTGTAGGCGAAGCACAACCGTGAGATCGGAACACGTGTTGTATTCAATAAATGTCTCCGTGAGATGTATACGATTACACGATCGATATGGCGCTGAAAGTACTCCCTCAATACATGTTCTTTTTCTATGAATGGACAATTCTTTGCACTACAACCCCATGCAAGTAATTTTCCCTCTTTTCGAAACCGACACTTTATTCCAATGCATACACGCACTTGTAAGATAAGTTAAGTCTTCGAGAAAAACACTCTCCTCTCAGGTTTGAATATTTTGATGTTGGATCTATTCGGTAATGTTCAAAGATGATATAAAAATAGAAATTATAGAAATTTATACTAGAAGATATAGAAATTGAAGCCAATAAATAAAATAATTATATTTTTATTATACTTTATTATATTGAAGTACACGTTATATGCTCAATATCAATTTCGATGCGTTGTAAAAGTATAATACGTGCAATAATATCTTGAACTGAATTATTCCGTCCCTCGATATTTTTCTTTGCATGGAAAAATCTCTACTTCTAAAAATAGAAGTTTTTATTTTTCTAATATATAAAAAATATATGAACAATATTGTTTTTTTTATATATGTAATGACTATACTCTTACCGTGCTCTTATTTTAATTTCAACTATTATTATTATAATCTCGTTATCACGTAGAATATATAACTGTAAAATAAGATACTGAGGTCTTCACTAGCTATAATGAAAGATATCTCATTTATATGCTTATAATATATATGCTACTTTAGGTATATATTCTACTATATATCTTATACCGTAGCAAAACATTCTATAGATGCAACAAATAGTCCACCGACGTTCAAAGTAAAATTTCTCGAATTTCTTTGTAACAAGAACAGTACTATTTTCTGTAGATGTAATGGAGCTATATACCACCGAACGTTATACCTAGAAAATGAATTATAAACGATGAATCTCTCGATAAGATCTTCGAGATGATCGCAAAACGGTTGTAACAAAAACAGTACTATTTTCTGTAGATGTAATGGAGCTATATACCACCGAACGTTATACCTAGAAAATGAATTATAAACGATGAATCTCTCGATAAGATCTTCAAGATGATCGCAAAACGATTTTTTTATCAGTAAATTTCATATATGCTTGTTGTGCAGAGATACCTCAACATTTTTTAATGTAACAATATGAGTCTCCATACGTGCAGTTTTGCAGATTTTTCTTACACGGTAACAAAAACGTGGTTATTGTAATTCGTTATATCCTGACCGATATAGTTGGATAGGAACATATACAAGAGACTGACATTTGCATATACAAAGTGTAACATCAATTCCTTGACATCTATTCCGGATGATGACAAAATCTGAAAAATCTAAGACAAATCTAAAATGTTTCACGGAAATAAGACAGTTCAATAAGAAAATAACTTTTTTCGTACATGAGGAAATGGAAGATCAATTCCCATAGTGTTTTAAACGCTGAATATGATTCCAGCTCTCAAATTATATCACGTTACAATTTGAAGATTTCCATAGTTAAAATTGCAACAAGAGTTATCTTAAGGTATTTTTAATATATTTTTAACCTTATGGAAACCATCGAGCGCTTGTTCTATACATAAAAATAGATTTAACATAAATAGGAAACTTACTCGAAATAGATTAAGGCTCACAGCGCCTACTCCAAATATTATTAAACAGAACATCATTGCCTGACAATTGGATAGCAAGAGAGTGGACAATCTTTAAAAAATAAAAATCTATTACTATGCGTATATAGCGCACGCACATTATCGAATGTATACGAACTTCATAGCTTCTCGATGAATGTCCACAGCGCAAATTAAATTCTTCAATATCAAATGTGTTTTTCTATGATCAATATTTCGTAGCATATTGACGTTCATTGCGTATTCGATACGATAGCTATAAATAATAATTTGTCCGGATTATTATATTGTAAACCACTGACGGATATACGTGTGGCGATCACGTTTAGACATTGTCCACTATTTTGTACAGACTCTATGCAGGTTCTAGTGAGTCTTCTTTTCTGATTATCGATTTTAATTTGTAACTTGACTACAATAACGAATGTTGTATATATCAACTTTAAAATTCCAATGTAATCTTTATATATTTTTATCCATGCTGAAGATGGACCAAAAAAGGTCCAAAACGTACATTTTTAATATACATTTATTATTAAAATTTAACAATAATAAGTTCACGCACCAATATCCGCGCCTTGGTTTTTATTTGCCGGTTTTCCACTTAATAATAATTTGTGTTGTAATGATCAACAACAAAAATTATCAAATAGCGTATTTTTTCGATTAAATTTAAACGGTTTTGTTTAAGTATTTGTTTGAAAATGATAAATTATTCGAATCTTTACAGCGCCATTTTTGTATTCATACCTGGCAATTTTAAACATTCCACAAGTATGTTGAAGATACGCGATGAACATTGTTCCTACCGCTAACATTGCAGTCGCTCCGATGCATAGTGATGCAACGTTGTGCAGCAGTATCAAATAAAAATATTTTTCTTGATTAATAAAATGTTCCGTTACGATTAGTAGATGATGTGGTTGAGACGTATTTGACGATAAAATTACGTTGATAATATCCGACCAAAATGACGCAACGATAAAAGTCGATAGGCTGCAAACGGCAAGTACTGAAAAAATGTTGAAAAGAGAATTGGTATGTACATTTCTCCCTATATAAGTTTTTTAAGTTTATTTACATGTTATCTGATATTTTCTTTCATGTGCATGTGTTACAATCTAAACTTTAATATTCTTTCATATCCGTGATTGATTTTATTGCGCAATTAATTGCTACTTTGCTTTTTCCACTATTTATTCGATTTTAAAACACTTGTTAATTATTATATATACAGAAAAACTGTTATAATTTGTCGAAATCAATTTTCCAAAGTAAAATATTGACAGCTCTTACGTGTTAAGAAGAAACCGTGGTTATACGTGAAAAAGATTATCTTACCTGTAAGTGCAACGGTATAACGTTTGGCGTTACATCCATATTCATTTATAATAGCAATTTCATTTGCGTCTTTTAACTTATTACATACATGCGATAGTTGTCCCAATATATCCTTCATCTGTTTCAGCAATTTTATATCTTTTTTTTTGTATGTTTATATATTTCTTTTGTATATTGTTTTTTTTTTAATAGGATGCGTTCGGGAAGCACGCTTTTAGCACTATGAGCGTGCTCTGTCCTTGTTCAACTTTTAGTAAATAACAAAGATAGAACGGCGCTTTTAGCATGTTCTCTGAACGCAGCCATAATAATAATGTTAGAAAACATTGCGTAAAAATTTATTTGACAAGAATGTTTATTCGATCTGACGAATAAGCTATCAACTTACAATTTCGATTTTAAAATAGAAGAAGTTGTATTTTATTATAAACACAATAAAGAAAAATGCGGAAGATAGAACTTTGATAGCGAGATCCGGAGTACATTTTTGTGAGACAAATATTGTACACTGCAAATAGTAATTTTATTTACAAGTTTACATTAAAAAATCATTCTTTTAAAGTCATAAACGCGCATATACACACACGCACACATATACACATACACACGAATGAATTACAATAGAATACAGAATTATATATGCGTATGTGTGTGTGTTCCGATATTAATTTTGTATATGTGTGTGCGTTTTAATTGAACTATAAGCACAACTATGTGTTTACGTACAATCATAATATAGTTGACGTAATAATTTTATGTTAATCTAAATTGTGATTTTTAAATTTTATGATAAAAAGACTGCTTTGCAAAATAATTCATCATGCTAATACTATTATAAGTTACTATATTAGAGCTTACCTGAAATATAACATTTGTCGTTAGAATACTAGACAGCAAAATAAATTGAAATCGTGTAAGGTTCGATTGTTGATAGGGCCACACGCCAATAGCGAGCAGAAGAATCCTATTTAGACTAAAATACTTATTGTTAATTTCGGTGTAGATCATTTCTTTGCAAGATCTGAAACGCGTATGACTGAAGTAGCCGACGAGAATTACATTTACCCTTTCCTTTTTCTGTTGATCAATCAACTATTATTTACTTTCCTCTGTAAATTTTCGCACAAATTACTTAATTTCATATAATGCAAGGCGACACAAGATACTACCGTGAAAGCATCCATATTTTCTCAATAATGAATAGTGTTTCTATAAAGTCTAAAATAGTGTTTCTATAAAGTCCCTAATTACGCGATCGATTTGATAACGCAAGGAAATTGAGCAAATGTCTTTTTCTCATAAGAAAAGAAAAAAAAAATATTCGTTGAGAAGATTATTTATACGTGCGAAAGTCGCGCACGCGTAATCGCCACTTTTTTTTTACCACAATTTCACACGCTTCATTTCATTGCGTGCGTTCGTAGCATACGTTTGCTCCTCGAGATGAATGTCGTTCAGTTTGAGCGTGCAGCATCGAGTCTATCTATGATAAAACGTGTATAGTAAAACATGTTATATTTTTTTAAGACGAATTGATCAGATCTGTATACATTTTCAAAATTTTCCAAATTGACGTGTGGACGCGATCAAGATTTTGATATTCTATGGGTTACATCTTTTATCAAATTTATCACTGGGGTAATATTATTCCCCCCAAACGTAATCTTGCTTCTTTAAGCTTTTTAATTTTACAGCACATATATTAATTATTAAAAATTACATAAGGCTTACACCACGCATTTGCGACAATAGTAGAGAACTTGTATAATTCATCTCCAGATCTCTAATTTATATAATTCAAAAAATAAAACAGTATATTTTCATTATATAAAAACAATATTTTTATTATTTATAAATTACCTATAAATAAATTAATTTATATTCATAATATCTTCAATATTATCATCGTTATTATCGTGCTGTTGTCTCGCTGAAGCTTTTGTCATCCTTATCATTGCGCAACTGAGACCACCGAGGACGCATTCGCGCGTAATCGTCACGACGGCGCGTCAATCTCAACGCGAGTAAGAGCAGTTCGTATATCTTTGTCAAAAACTTTTGCACTTGAATTAAGCAAAAAGTTGCGTTTGAAAAAATAAATAAATATTATACTAATGTATAAAAGGAATATTAATAATATAATAATAATAATAATATATATAATTATATATATGTATATATTAGTTTGATAGAAAAAATATATATATATATTGTTTGATAAAAAATCAAAAAAAGAATGGAGAATAAAGGATATAATAAAAGGTCGCTTCTATCTCTAAAACTAACTCTCTTTATTCGCATCGCCACTTTATACTCATTCTTATTGTATTCAATGTGTGATTTAAATTTTCTCCATCTCTTTCATCAGCCATTCCTTTTATATCTTTAACTATAATACTAGAAAACAATTCCATATACAAAAATAATCATAACAACAATAAGAGACAATAAACAACAAAGATTCAGTAATATATAATTCACACATTCATATGGAAAGTAATATAAACTTGTCTTTCTTTATATACGGATCATATACGTAAAAAGGATTTAATTTTATGGTCCTGGATTCCACACTTATATGTATCAAAAGGCATTCCTATATTTTAGTATTTTGCTATGTAAAATGATATTCTCAGTGTTCAAAATATTAGTATGTATATATGTGTGTCATAATAGAGAATAATTGTTATGATATGCGGTAAATTATCGGCGATACCCGAAATATAGCAGAATTATGATCTTACATATAAAAAGTCTTCTTAAAATATTACAATCTTAAGTGGGTATAATATTGTTTTGTTTAGTAACTTTCTAATGTTTTAATGTGATATTTCCAAAGATTGAACAAAGTTGTTTCCAAAAGGATTATTTCTTCGATAGTATACATTTGACTATTGAAATTTTAATCATTAATCTCGAGATTTTTGTTTTAAGATTATTTTATTCCTCGATTACTGTATTTTTATTTTCTCTCGATCGTAAACTATTGACTTTTTTTTTTAAGTGATTACCTTCGCTCGCAATACACACTTTAAATATTCAAATATTTACTTCCATTAATCCAGAAAAAAAATAATATAGAATAATCATTATACATCATTCGCAAACAAATACAACAATAATAATCAACGTCTGAGTGAACGCACTATATTTATGATCACAATGTTACTCTGTATAGCAACTTGTAATAATTTTTCCGTTAAATATCGAAAGTTATACGCAATTCAGCGTTTCTAGCAGCAATGTAGCGATGTAAATTTCGCAACAATGTTCTTTACACATCGCACTTTAATATCCAATGTATTAATGATGGCGTAACTTCGTGTGCTTCTTTCACCCATGTGAACACCGGATTCTTAATAGTATCACAACATGGACCTTCAAACATGTAATACAGCGATATTTGGACAACTCTACTAGATACATTGGATAAATATATTATAATTCATATATATGTTATATGACGCGCATATCATAATATTGTACATATCTTCTCCATGGAAACATTAAGAAAGGAAGTGTAAGTAAAAAGGCACTATTTCTGGGTATGGGAAAGAAGTTTCTTTAGGCCTCCCTGACTTCTATCAAATCCCTCCGTGACATCACAGACCTCACATTGACACAAGTTACGCCACTGCGAAACATGTCACCCTCATTTCATTACACACCTGCATACTTGTAAAGTCTTAATCCATTATTCATCCATCACAGAATACATATCAATTTTACTAAAGTAAATTATAAATACAGCCCCATTCTCTTAAATTAAATATGCTCAAGCATACCCAACAAATATACTGGAAGCATAAACTTATTGTTAGTTGGTTTATAAACTAGACTGGAATTCATTATATGCTACAAAACGATGGAATTTTCTCTTGTTATCGCATACAGTTGACTAGTCATTGGGAAAATTATTAATTGGCAAGAAAATCTTCAATTGTTCTATCCACAGTTTCAACACGCCATTTTTTTTAGTCACAATGAATATCAGCTTGTTGTAATCGCATTTTGTAAAAACACCGGTGTTATTTTATATTGACTGTCGAGGATGACATCGAATTAACAATCCTTCCATTAAACAGGTGTTTCATGATCAGTCTCTTCAATTCTTCCCAATCTCCATGCATTTGGATCTCCTGCCGCTGTAAAACAACAATAATTTTTTTCAATCTTATGATATACCTTTCAACATAATGTAAAAATCACATTTAAAAATATATTTGTTTGAGATATATATTACATCACAATTGTATATCTCCTTATCATAAAGAAGTTATACAAATTGTACATTACTTTCAATATTATATAGATCAATATTATATAGATAAAAACAAATCTTTATATATTATCTTATAATATTTTTACGTTGATCGAAACAAATACAAAGAAACTAAAAGATACAGCATGCAAGAGAATCTAAATATTTTAATATAAAATAGTTTGTCCTTCTTTTTCAATATTACTATTATTGATTTTCAAGATTAAATATGCTTTTAAAAATATCATTGTGTTTAATATAACTCCGTTTATAAACATTGCTTTTCACATATTTGAATTTATTATGGGCAATAATTTTTGAAAATATAGAAAACTCACCTTTTAATACAAGCCAGGAAGAACAATAAATGATGTTACTCTTTGATATTTGTGTAATGTACACGCATCCATTGCAGGAACATAACATGTACAGCACATAGGACTTTGTGCTAGATTGCACAATTGGTAGACAAGGATATTACAGCGAAGTCTGAGCATTGTATGGCATAGGATGTGAAGGAAGTATATAGGATGGTACACGTAGAGGGTTTGTATGGTGTAAGGTATTATTCAATACTTCTTGGCTCGTGTACAGTAGCGGCATTCTCTCTTCTATTTCCGAAGCAAAATCAAAGTTGATGCAAAATTATAAAAAAGGTGCATGTAAATAAATACAAAAATTTACAACACGTATTAGTTATTACTATGTCTCAACTTGATAACAAAAGATTGTATTACTTTGAAATGAATATGACGGTATTTTATAAAGATCTAAACATAAACCTAAAATAAAAATGGCTGTCTTTTTTAATTAATGGTTTTTTGTTAATTATTTTGTATTTATTGGATTTGAGTCAATATAATTTTGTGTAAATAGTCACTATATTGGTTGATGCAAATCTTAGCAACATAATAGAAATTTAAAAAATATATATATATAGTGAAAAGAATTATATTTATTATAGAAATCATATTGAAAATAAAGAATAACATTAAAAATGAATTAAAACATTGGATGCACGCAAGACATGCACATGCCTAAATCTTATGGAAAATGTGCATTTTGCTAATTATAGGAAAAAGATAGATTGCTGATAAAAACTAATAAAGAATATACAGGATATAGATACAGTTCCTTTTTAAGAAAAACAATAGTGTCACAATATATTTAAAAATATTTATAAAAGCAAAGTTCAAAGTAATACAAAAATGAAGGCAATTTATCATACACATATTTGTTTGAATTCTTCAATTATAGTAAGAATAGAAATCGTAAATAAAAATGAATACATACCTTGGAGTTGACGACTAATGAGAGCAGTAATGCCTTGACTGTCACCAGTCTTTTTTACAACAAAAAGTTTCGTATCAGCATCATTTTCTAAGGCTCCGAGTCCACCCAGACCAATTATCTGTCCATTTTGCTGCTGATGATTGCTAGCAGCCATTGTTTCACTGACCTATTGCAAGCAAATATAGCAGAGCATTTGCATATATATATTTTTTTTTTATTAACAAATCTTAACAATTTTACTATTTCTTTTTACAAAACAAAATTTGATCTTTTTATGACTTTTTAAATAATTCTATATGTATATTAAACTTAATATTTTAATGTACAATAATAAAACTGTACCTGCATCAATTTCTTAACTACATCTCTTCCCAGAATGTGATCAAACACTGCCTGCAGGAATTGATCGCTAATTATGCTTAATTTTAGTTTGTCCCTATGCCATAATAATATTCTTGATTCTTCCATAGCTGTTATTGATACCTAAGTAAATATAAATGTCTATTTTAAATATATATATATATATACATATATATCAAAGTTAATCCGAAATATTTGATAAGCCTATTGAAAAAGCGCTGACTGTGCAATAAAAGATCTCGCTAATATAAAAAACACATGTTGATAAAAAATTGCATGATAACAAATATGCTTGATAACAAATTTACCTGGAAATATTCGTCTGTCGAAACACCAAACCATTCTGGAGAATCCAGGAACTGATGTGGGAAGACAATATGCAATGCTCTCCCACTTTGTGAGACAACTAGTCTGAACAATGAGAATAAAAATATATTTGTAATAACTAAATATATAGAGCTTTTATAACAATAAATACATCTAAAGAACTTAAATAAGATGCATTCTTACTTTCCTGACAACACCAATGATAAAGAATCAACTTTGGTCACTTTTTCTTGTGCATAAACCTCTTGATACTTCAACTGGCGAATGACCTTCATGCAATTTAATACTTTTCTGAATTGATGACGAGAAACCCGTAATGGCTGGAACACTGCAATGTATACCTATATAAAAGAAGATGATAGTGAAAAATTTTTATTAATCCTGATTGTTTTAAGCTTCAAAATAAATTTAACACATTAAGGGCGAGATTTCAACTGCATTATTGGACTGTGCTGTTAATATGTTACTGTTATTGTTGTTATTGCTATTTGGTTATTGTTTAAGAACAAATTCTATCATATCTAAAACAAAATTGATAGTAGTTGAGCTCAGCCATTAGATTTCATAACACACAACTTAATTTTGACAAGCGCAAAATAGATGTCATTTGTAATAATGGACTTGTAATAATAGTGCAAAAATAAATAAGAAATCAGTGTGTATAATACAAATGTTGCAGCCAGACAATGAAGCAAATTACAGAGATTGTGTATTGCTAACTATTTTCCAAGTTCCTAATATCTAGTTATAAGTTATCTAGTATATCTATATTATACAATAATAATTTTAAAAAATATAAAAGAGAATGTTTTCACATACTTAATACTAAATATTATATTTCGAAATATAAATTATTATTTTATATATAATCTTTCCTGTATATCAGAGTTGCAAATTATTAATATAATAATTAAACATATTATATCAGTATTATATAAGATATAAAATATCTATAAATAAAAAGCAGTGAATACACATGCATATTATCTATAAGTTTATGAGAATTATAAAATATATATATAATACTCTCTACAAATTCATTCCTCTAATGTCTCTAAAAGAACCCAAGATAGATCATTAAAAATAAAAAAAATTGAGCCTATATACTTCTGGACCTTAAAAGAATCTAATATGATTTTTAAGATCAGATATTGACACATTACTGCTCAAATCATTGTCTTCTACTGCTTTTCACTTACCTCTTCAATTTCCCTTGTGAACTTGATAGGCCTGAGCTTGTAAAGAAGCGTGCATACATGGACGAAGTTGATGGCAACAAAGAGAGCATTCCAGAGAGCAGCATCCAGCCAGCAAGCTATTGTCCAGCCCCACAAAGCAAGAAAGGCACAGCCCACGAGTAGAGTGCACCTTAAATAAAGTACACCATGTATGCCGCTTGGTGCAAGGTGTGACAATAGGAAGAAGGCATTTGCGAGTTGAAAGTAGATGTGGTTGACGTAAATTCCTTGATAGGGTTGGCAGGTAAGAGCTCCGTACAGAAAAGGTGGAGGCACTATCGGCGAATGAGGATAACCGGATCCATGGCTGACCACTGACAGTCCAGTACCTGTACAGACATGAGAGCAACACGACATTTCGCCAGTGAAGTGATCGTCGCAAACCGAAATTCATCCTTCGGGTTAATTGCAAACGATGAATTGTTAAATGTACCCTCTCTATTGTCAGTGGTCACATTCCTGCATTCGTCGTTATCGTGGTGTGCCGACGATGGGAGGGATACGTCCGACGTAACGGTACTATGTGGGACATTGGACGCGGCTGCATTCGTTAAACTGGCATCGATAGTAATGGAGGTCCAGTATAGAAGCACAACGAACGAAATGGAAGTACCCCAGCCTACTCGGCTTTCTGTTGGGTCGAAGCAGATCCACATCCCCGCATTACCATCAAGCTGGACCAATTTCGTTTCGCTCTACAACAAAAGAATTCATTTGCATATTGTAATTGTATTATTAATGTATTAACAATATTTATATTTATTTAAATGCAATCAAATCAGAATTATATTTTCTGAATTACTAAATACTTTTTTATTTAGCATATTGCACTTACTTTAGAAAAATTATTAATGTATTAAAGAAGAGTGTGTATTATTTTAATTTTACATATATATGATAATCTTTTCAATATCATATATTTACATTGCTATAATTTTTATTAAAATGCAAGTTAAATTACTAATAACAATTGCATTTCATACTTATTCATAAATGATGTAAAAGTGAATGCTCTGTGCCATTTGTGAATATGCAGTCACTGCTCACATTTCTATATTACTCTCAGCTAAAATTGGAACTGAATGACGAAAACCATCTTGCAGACTTCAGATCAAGGAAGAATATTTGCATTACCAGTGGCTCTAGGAAGACAATATTAACACCTGTAATTCAAACAAATAGATACTTAATCAATACATATAAAAATATATATACATAGATATATATATGAGTATTACATGTTTTATAAAGATATGAATCACAATATCATATTTTATAATCAATAATTATTTTTTTTATTTGTTATATCTTTTTCAATATTCGAGTAATAAGTGAGATAAGATCATACACTATCATTATTAGCAGAAAGAACGAGATTGTTTTCAACAAAGAAATTATCAGTATATAAGTACAAGATGCATGATAAGTTAATTTGAAAAATACAATTTTATTACCCGCTTTACCCCCTCACCATTAAAACCTGACTTGTAGTAAATCTAGTTTATCGTATATCTAAAAAAAGTATTGATATCTCGATATTAAAACATCTGCAAACAAGGTGAAAGATAAAACATTCTCGGATGTTCAACGTATCATAGTATCACAAATGCAGAAGTGTAACAGCAACTTCAATACATCTAAGAACACGCATAGACACAAAAGGGGTATATAGGTGCTTATTCATACTCATCCTTATAAGGACTCAAAGACGGTTTAAATTACCAGGGAACATGCAGACAATTTAATCCAGTTTCCACGATCCAATTTCCTATTTCGCTCGAAACAGCAGAATACGTGATGTATGTACATAAGCATATTCTTTGACCTACCATTTTACCCACAATTTCTTTATTTTTGCCCAAGAGATACTCGGCTACGTTTCGAGTAATAACCGCGTGTGTACGAAAATACGGGTTCGATCCGCGAACGCCGTTATATAAAATTACATACATCGCGACGCGTGTACCGGACGACACGGGATGTCTCGTTCGTGCTCGCAAGTTTCTTACCGTCATCGGAAAAAAAAAAAATCGGAGATCGTCGTCGCGCGTATTATTAAGAAAGTATGTCCCTTTTGAAATCAATAAATAACTTACTCATGGAAAATCGGTGACGGTGGGGGCGTACGCGAGGCATACAGATGAAAGGGCGAACGGTGGTGTGACGGTCGTCGTCGTCGTCGTCGTCGTCGTCGTCGTCGCTCGCAAAAGAAGGGAATCGTCGTCGCTGCTGATGCTGGACTCGCTGTAATCGGGAAAGCGCGCGCGCGCGCTACGTACGAAATAAACTGAAATCGCTACCGTTGACTACGATCAGCTACGATCCCTCGTCCACTCGATCGTAACGGAAAACGTCAGACTAGCGCGGCCGCCGTTGGAAGCGCGCGACGTTACAAAGCCGATCGGCGGATTGGCGATGCGGGAGGGGAGAGGAAGTTGATGGAAGGGCGACGAAGGTGTCAAAAGTTAACACTCTTGCCGCTATCTTGAAAATAGATAACTTTCCAGCAAGAAAACACAGATAGACACAATGCCATGCAATTGGCTATTAAATAGAGAATTTTTAAAGACCCTAACATTTTTCTATTTGACAGCTAATCATATGATATTGTGTTTATGTGTATTTCTTACTGGAAAGCTCCGATACTGAACAATTCGGAAATTCACTCATCGGAGTAGACTAGCAGTCGATCGACCAATCAAGACGAAAGGAGCAAAGATTTCTTCACTCTGATTGGTCAATCAAACGCTACTTCATTCCGACGAAAAGATTTTTGGAATTTTGAATCAGAGAGGCGGTATTTATTTTAATTACATCTAACCACATCTAACATTATATTTCGGATTTCTTCGAGAGATATTGAGTGAAATACAGCGTGAAATGGCGACAGAAAAGGATTTAGTAAATGGTACATAGCTACATAAATGTTGCATATTATAAATATTACGAAATCAAGGATAATGGCATATTTGACAAGTAACCTTCAATTTCTCTCTCTATAGTGTACATATATTACTGCACAAGAGAAAAGATTTCAGCCATTTTCACTGTATTCATTATTCCTTATCATTATCTTTATTCAAAACTATATGATATATATTACAAGATATTTTAGCCACTTTTATGACACATGTGTCTAATTGTGCTACATAATCTAATTTTTTAAAAACACTTATCAACATCAATGGCATTTTTATAAAACACAAAAGAAATACATTACCTACATTTTGAATTTACAGCTGTAAGGGAATCACTAAAGGCTGATGGAGATCTTGATCGTATAAAGGCAGAAATGCGTACAGAAGTGATAAAGCTACTAGATTGCTCCAGTAAAGAGAATAAATCAAAAATTGTTAAACCCTCTCACGATATTATATTGCTCAATGAACTTGTTAGAGAATATTTGGATTGGATGGGATATAAATATAGTTCCACTGTATTTATCGCAGGTATATTGCTATTTTAGAGAATATATAGCTATATATATACACCTATATGTGTCATCATACTAAAAATGACAATAGAAATTGCATTAAATATAGAATACATTTTTATTAAAATCTTGCAAGCAATATTTAAAAAATGTTATTCCAGAATGTGATCTCCCAAAGCATTCCTTGGATCGTACACTTCTTGCACAGAGTCTAGGAGTAAAAGACAATGAAAAAAGCAGAAACTTACCACTGCTGTGTGGTCTTGTGCAAACATTTACCAATTTGAAAAATACCTAATTATAAATTCCTCACACAAACATAAATTATTCAATATCCAATCGCGCTTTTTAAATGCTATTTATTTATTTCAGATGTATGTTACATATAGATTACTTAGATATATCTTTTTATATATACAAATATGAAAGTGTAAACACACAAATTGAAATGTATACAAATCATAGTATTCATTACAATAAAAGAAAAAAAACAATATAAAGAAGAAACAATTAGTCTCATTTTCAGTATATATGGTATATTTATAAATACATATATATATATGTACAACATACATATATATATGGTGCATATATATCTCGAAATTGTGGTATCTTCAAAATATTACAAGAAAATTATAACATACGATAAATATGATGAGCATAAGATACGAGATTGTGTATGTAATATTATTTTGATGAGATGAAGAAAATATTAAAAGAATTTTATTATTTTATTTCGTGATGTTTCTTACATATTGACATTAGATTATGAAAGTACAATATAATGCTGAGATAGCAGAAATCCTAAATGATATTGTTCTTGACTCATTACATAATAATTATTGGATTTTTTTAAGATGCTTATTATGTATATATTTTTTTCAAAATTATATCATAAGGTACATATGGGCTATAATGTACATCACTTATTGCAATAATAAACTTACATACAGTACTTTAATATACCAAACCGGAACGTGATAATTATGCAAAGGCCATATAATGCTATCTGTTCCTTTTTATAAATTAGAGCAACTTTTCTATATCTCATATACATATATGCTGCCCTTTTTTTTCATTTCTTTCTACTATTCGTCAATCCATTAATTTGTTTTACTTGTCAAAAACGTTTTTATTTTTTTGCGCGCCAATAAATAATCTACTGCTAAAAAGAGATTATTCCTGTTTAAAATAATTTTATGTTAACTCGGGCAATGTCGCAAGTACAAAATAATCTTATTATTCTATCTGAAAGATTTGCAAATAATACATATATCATCGATTGCATAATCTGTCCATAGAATTGATGAAAATGAAATAATTCTTATAATATTTGAAAGCGCTCAAAGAAAAGAAGCTGTTGTTTTTTTTTGCACTTTTTTATGTTTTTTTATATTGTTCAGGTAAAGTATTTTTTGATCGAGCATCAAAAATATCTAGTGATGTCATTTATGCTTGGATTTCTTCTTCTTCTTAGACTGCTTGCTCCTGCTCTTTGATTTCTTTGATTTCTTCTTATGTTTCTCTTCGTCGCTACTGCTGTCGGATGAATCCGAATAAGTGTCCGAATCTGAGCTACTGTCTTTCTTAGCCGACTTCTTTTTCTTATGTTTTTTATGTTTCTTTTTCTTTTTCTTATGCGACTCGTCACTGCTGTCCGAATCGCTGCTTGACGTGTCGGAACTACTGGATGTATCTTCACTACTACTGGACTTAGATCGCTTCTTCAAAGATTTCATCTCTATCTCTTTGTCTAATTCCGTTTCGTCCAGTTTCAGTTTCTTTGATGGTTGCAATCCCTTCCCGTCCTCACCATCCGACTCCGAGTCCGAGGCCGAATAATCGGGTTCGAAGCTGGCCTCGTCAAGTATACTACGCTTGCGATCGGACACTAGTCTCGGATTCTTTCTCTGTTTCTTCAATGACTCTGCCAGAGGCGGCTCGATATTCTCGTAATTGATTTTGGTCTCGTTGCCGTCTGACTTTCCATCTTTCGAAGCTGCGCCTTCCTTGTGCTTCTGTTTCTTTTCCTGATTCTTGTCCTTATCTTTCTTGTGCTTCTTCTCCTTGCGTTTTTTATGCTCTTTAGATTTACTTCTGCTACGATGCTCCTTCTTCCTCTTTTTCTCCTCTCGCGTTTTCTTGTCGCGTCTTCTCTCTTCCTCGTCATCCTTCGATTTTAATAAACTTATTTTCGTCAGATCCGTTCTCTTGAAAGCGCAAGACGAAGGAGGCGTTCTACCTCTGCGTTCACGATCTCGCTCCTTATCGCGATCCTTTTCCACGCGTTCTCCCTTGACATCATTTCTATTTGAGCGGAAATCTGTTCTACAATCAATTCTACTCTCCCTCTCTGACCGCAAATCGCCACTGTGCCTGTCGCCTCGAAAATCCGATCTTTCCTTCGACCGATCGCCTCTATCTTTGTTGTCCCGTTTTCTCTCATCCAGATATACCTTTCGCTCGCCGCTTGTGGCTAAACCCAACGAAGATGGCTCTACGCGTCGTTCTAAAAGCGGAGGGGAAATTCTCTTCTCTCTTCTGGGCGATCGACTTCTTGACTGATTCTCGTTCTTGTCGCGCCTCTCTAGAAATCCTTTTATAGGGCTGATCTTTCTCTCTTTGCCCTCCTCGATCTTCTCACCGAGTCTTTCTTTGGCGGACAGCCTGGTCGGCGAATAGGCTGTCTCTGGAACGGGCTTGAACTTGGTACGATCAAGCTTAGCTTTCTTCACCGGCTCTGTGATCTCGACATTTCTCTCGTTTCTACCAACATTAATCGTCACATTAACGCTCTTTCGCGGCTCTCGATTAGCGGTTGGTTCCACTGTCTCCAACACTTTAGGTTCGGGATTTTGATATAATATCTTCCTACTTTCGCTAATCTTCTTGATCTCGATTGGTCGAATCGCGTTGATGGCTTTTTGAAATATAGCATTTTCCGCTCGTTTTAGAACTTCTGAAGTAACCATCTTCATTGATTTTGGTTCGTCCTCTCTCTGTATTTTTTCCGTCGGCGATTCATCCGCATTGTTATCGTCGGGTTTCTCGATTGTGTCGTCTCTCTCCCACTTGGACAACTCGGGTATGGGTGCCAGGAACTCATCCTTCTTCGGGGATTTCACCGTCGATAGCATGGTGGTGACTTCTTTCGTCTCGGTTTGCGAATGTTCTGACAGTAGAGAATATTTTTCTGTGATCACAGTGTTAATCTCTGTGTCGTCTAGTCCACCATAGAGACTATCAATTGGCTTCATGTCCGACTTAAGTTCTGGAATTGGCTTGAAATTTGGATTCGGTGGATTAGTACCGAATTCTGCGCGATCAAGCCGACCACTGCCGGGACTGAGCTCGTTGAATTCTGGCGGTTCTGGATTCATCGCCAGAGACTTGTCCTCAAATTCCTCCTTGATTGGCACGATGGGTGCCTCACTGGCGATACATTCTATTCTGTTTTCAATGTTATCCTCCTCGCTGCATGTTTTCACGGCGTCGAGCTTGTTAAGCGGCGAAGACGAAGTGTCATTCGTCGTTTTATCCTCGACCAGCAGCGCATCTTCCACTTTGATCGTATCGTCTTTAGGCGTTTCCTTCTGACTGGATTTCTTGTCTTTCTTCTTTTTCTTCTTCTTCTCTTTTTCGTCGCTATCCTTCTTCTTCTTCTTTTCCTTTATTTTCTTTTCTTTCTTCTTCTCTTCCACTTTCTCCTCATGTTCCTTTTCCTTCTTCTTCGTACTTCGCTCTGGCGACAGATCCTTAGGATCGCCTCTAGATTTCTGCGAGTACGGACTTAAACTTTTTCTGCCCTTTTTCCGCTCTAGCGAACGCCTCTCGTACCGCTCGTGACGATCTCTATCCTTCTCTCTTTCGGATTCGTATTCGCGCTCGCGTCTCTCCTTCTCTCGCGGCCGACTCTTGTCATCTTGCCTATGACGATCTCGATCATCTCTGTAACTGTAACAAAAAAAAAAGACGAAAATATATAGATAACATATTTGCAACAAATCAAGAAACCAATTTAACAAGTTGTCGTTCTTTTCAACGTACAATAGTTTACATATTAGAAATATCTAACGTATTGAAATTTTTAACTTGACTATAATTCTTGTAATTAATTATGCATTTAATTCTACTTAATCACGCAGAACACACCGATCTTTATCGTAATCCTTCTTCTCGATGTGTCTATCATCATCTCGACGATCGCGAATATGCCTATCATCTCGTTCTTTTTCCTTTTCTCTTCTGTCGCGTTCATCTTTCTCTCGTATCCTGTCTTCATGATCTCTCGGCGGAGCTTGTCTATCACGATCTTCGCGATCTCTGTTAATGATCCTGCGATCTCTGTCGTCCCTCTCGCGTATACGATCTTCACGATCGCGACCCCTTTGAAACATATTATATGCATATCACAAATACATTCCTTTAAGATACAATTAGATATCTTCTTTTTAAATGTAAAGTGATTAAAGGAGAAAGCAATATTTTTTTAAATAAGGGAGTTATTTTTCAGACTTAACACAATATTCAATGTTGTATACCTGTCATCTCTCAATCTGTCACGATCCTCATTGTCACGATCCTTTGACGAATGTTCCCGATCTTCTTGATCTCTTAAGGAACGCTGCCGCTCCCGATCTTCCCTCAACGGTCTGTCGGAATGCTCGACGCCCGGTGGCGAGAGATCGTAATAGCCTTCGGTACCCGGTGGTGCGACATCTTCAAATCGCTTATGAGGCGGAGGATCCCTCAGAGGACTACCAAAACGCTGCGAAGGAGGTGGTCCGGAATATCTGTTGACAGAAAATCAGTACAGCGCTTGATACATCGATCATACTGCGAAAGATATCATTCTTAATGTTTTTCTTTTTCTTTTCTTCAGTACATGGTGCGATTTTATAAAATTGGCGTAGCGCATATACAGAATAGTTGTTAGTGACGAAAATTTGGAAACCCAAGGTGTATACCGAGAAAATTAATCGTGTTAAGGTACTCGTAGAAAGAAAAGAAACTTTGTTTGCCCTTCAAATTTTCTTTCGTACTTCTGTTAACAAGGCTACTTGCCACACATGGAAAACCTATCCAATGAAAATTCAAATAACTGGGGCAAAAATGAGTCAATATTTTAAAACAAGATAACTACTTAATTTTTTAAAATAATCTTCATACAAGCTGAAAGAATAGAACATCACAATCACCTGTTACCCAGACTTTGTTAAAGTCATTAACTAAAATTATAAAATCATGAAGAAAGCAACATTTGTAACTTTAAATGGCTTTAAAGTACAACAAAAATATACATTCTTACAATCATAATTATATTGAATATTGAATAATTACATTATAAATGCGAAAGTTGAGAAATTGTCAGAAATTATAGTCTGTGCAATTTATGTTTAATTTATTCATTGACGTGATACATTTTCAGTAACACGTCCTGAGTTTGATACTGAATAATAAAAAGTAATTTTGTTTTTTCATTACAAATGTTGATTTGGCCCTGAATTCACCTGATTCAGAAACCATGCAGACGTGTCAATCAGCTGGCTAGCTTCTGCAATCTCCACGATGGGCCTCGATACTCTTCCTTGCTTCTCTCTTCTTCTTGCACTTTTAGATTACTACTATATTTCACATAATGTAATATACATATTACATAATATATATAAATAATACACACAGAGTATATATATTACCTGCATGCAATTTACAAAATTGTATATTCAATAATATTGTGACGATATTTAACAAATAAATAAAGTACACTTACTGTAGTAATAATGCTTATATAAAACATTGTTATATATAGACCAAATAGTAAAACTAAACTTAAATTAAGATTTTTTTTTACAAAAACTTAGAATTACATTATAAGATTAACCCAAATAAATCTATAACTTAATCTCTATCTGGTATAATAACAATTATCAAATATTGTATATAACGAAGTGCGCACATAAATTAACGAGTATTCTGCTGAAAAAATATAACTACAAATAGCATAATTATGCTATTAACAATATTGTATTATTTTTATATAATTATATATTCCGAAAACATATATATAAAGATATGTTACATAAAACATAGATATTAATAATATATTCATAATAATTATACATATATACAAATATTATTAAAAAATACATTATGTATATTTTTCATTATATTACAGTATATTTTAGTTTATCTATAATTAAACATCTGATAAATTGGCGCGAATATATATATAGATACAATTCATATTAGTATAAACTATTTGCACACATATATATACTTAGATTAAAATTATATCAATGACTCTCACATGTACAGTTTCATTAATATGTATATCTTGCATATTTGCTTAAGTTATTAAGAATATCTTTAAATAAGCATACAAAGTTCTTGCTGAATTAAAATAAATACTAATACAATACATATAAAATATACACACATACACATATGCACACGCACAATATATATATTAAACTCATGAAATAACATAGAAAATGCTAAATTAGAAAGAAATATTAGCTTTCATTTAAATGTCAAATGTTAGCTTTCATCATTTAAAAAATATCAATATATTCATAATACCATTAAAAATTTGACAATGTAATCACTTAAAAATTTTTCATATTTTATTATATTCCATTATATTATTACTTCCACTAATATTATTACATTGCCAGTAATATTTTCTATCTCACGTTTATTACCCGCAATAATTTTATTCAATATTTCTCAATTTATATATATTATATATGATATCATGTCAAAAATAGAAAAAAAAAAGAAATATGTAGAAACCTAAAAAAGTTTAAAAATTTATTTTTTTCTACTTTTTATAATACATTGATTTTAGTACAGAAAGAAACGAATATTGGTTGTAAAATCAATTTTTATTATGTTTGCGACAAAGAAATAATCTTAAGACCCCTAGTCTCTTATTGAATTATTATAATGACAGCGGCAAGAATATAAGAATTAAAAACGCGAGCCTATAATGAAAAAAGATACAATGGAAAGAGATATATGAATATATATGAAAGCCTCATATATATAAATCATACATTCAATCATACAATCATTTCCACAATTTATTGCTTATCGTCTTATCGCTATTCTTATAAATATATAGTCATCTATAAATAATAAATTACGCATTAAATTAAAAAATATATATATCGCACAATTAATACAACAATACAACGATAATCAAAATAAAATTATAACATGATATCATCAGCAATAATATTTTAATTATTGACTAAATTATAGTAGTCAAAAAAATCTTTATAAAACTTTTTGTAATTTTAGTAATAATAATCATTTTACTGTGATTATATAGTGATTGAAATTAATGAGATATGTCCTATTATAATTTCCAAAAATTATGTATATAAAATAAACAATTTAATTTTAAATAACAATTATAGTCAAAACAAAATAAAAACTTGTATATAAATTTTTAAATATATGTAAATGTATATATATAGTGTGAGATACTTAAATATAATTATTAATATATAACATTTTTTAATAAATTTAAAATTTGGATATTAAAATATATG